AGAAGAAGATCCCCAACTGTTGCAGATGTATTGGAAACTTGGTATGTATCTGCTGCGTGCATTGGCGGTGATGTTCCTGAGCGTTGCGCGTCTCCTCATGCTGAAATGTATTTTTGTTAACTCGAAGTTTTTTTTTGGCCATTAACACACCGCTGATTTAAATCACTTCTGTTAAACTGAGTTGCATTCATCGCCTCTTAGCATAGAAATTCTAAAACATCAGAAGCTGCGCGGAAGCTTTGTACCCGCATTTGCCGCAATCGCCACATGTTACGTGTACCACTAAGAACGTGCCACATTTCTGGCTGCATGCTGCTGCGTCAGTGGCGCATACTAGCGCCAAAGTTTTGCAGCCATCTGTTTGTCTACGCACCCTGGCGGAACTGAACAGTGCAATTGAAATCTGCCTTGCAGACCTGTTCTTGAAGGTAATAGAGTAGTCTTTTTAGAATAAAAACTTCGTTTCAGGGTTTGTGCCTTCCTCAATATCGAGGGAGTTTATTAATGTACTACCCGAGACGAAAAGCAAGTTATCTTTCACAACAAAACTGTCTTAGCGGAGTAGAGGTACTCGGTAAATGCATTCCCTCACACTTTCTCTGGATCTTCGTCTTCAACGACGTCATGAAGGAGCTCAAAATAATAATGGGGATAAGATGAGGCCTCTATCCAAAGGTGTGGAGTCGCAGCGGTATTCACAAACAGATCGAAGTTGGATGGGGTGTTCTGTTCCTAAACCTCCGTTGAAATAAATTTTGGGTTGTCCGATGTAGTACCTATCTAAAGAGCATGTATCTCTCAGGCCATCTAGCGGAAATTAGGGCTATGGGTTTCAGTTACAGTGGCAATGCAGGGACCTGCGTGTCTTAGAAATTTTCTGAGCTAAGAACACTTGAACTGATCTTGGCCAAATTGCATTGTAGCCGACTTAACAATCGCTAAGTGGACGCCCCGATATGCAAATTTAAAAGGCCTTGGCAGCTGGCTGAGCGGCAAGTCTCGGCATTGACAGGTGTTTTGTCTGGGCTGTATCCATTAGAAACCCATGCGGTACGACTTAGTATGGTTGTTTGGAGGATGTCTAGGTGTTTTTACCTTAACTTTGTGGGGTGTGCATCAGCTGCCAATAGACTTCAATTTCCAGCATTCAAATTGATTCTAATTGCTCCTTCGCTTGGTTGCCACGTAACTTGACCTAATTGCATATATTTGGGAAAAGAAAACCCTTTCATCAGTGTCCAGACGAATGCGAATACTATCTATAGAATAATTCGGTTGTGAGAATTCGGAGCAGCAAACTGGGGACAGCTCTTCCCTGCCGAACTCGGCGTTTCCGCACTAAATACTTAGTTTAACGTGTTTCTTTTATATTTTTATTTTCTAAGAACGCGCTAACTTTTAATTTTCGCTTGCTTTTTATCGCCTCAAACCGTCTTTTGTTCGGTTTGTTTATTGTTTAGCACAACGCCGTCGCCATCGTTTAAGGCAGACGAGTGAAAATGTCCTGCGCTAATAAAATTACTTCGCCATAAATCACATTACCCACATAATTCGCACGAAATTTACGCACAACTTTTGGCCTGAGCCAAAGCTGCTGCCCCGCCGGGTTGTCGTCGCTGCCACCGTGCGGCTTTGTTTGGCTGTTGTTTTCTCAATGTGCTGCGCCATTATCCGCACAACTTTTGCGCAAACGCTTTGCAAAAGTTTTCCTCCGAAGCATAAACATGACACCTGCGTTCTGACGTCCGTCCGCCTGCCCGCCTTGGTTGTGCGCTCAATTCACTTGGTAGCTTTTCCTTCGGAAAATGTCTTCAGCTTCTTTGTACAAACGTACGCACATACATACATATGCATGTGTGTATGTATGTTCGTAAGAATCAGGGGCGCGTGTGGCAAGTGGTAAGTTCCGCAGATAATTTTATTTTGCCTCTCAACTTGGCGAGCTAAAGGCGATTAAGATGGGGGGACGCACGGGACCACGCACAGAGACTGTGCGACATCATAAACAGTTGTAAAAGGGTTGCCGCCATGTGGTGAATTGTTCGGAATTGTACTCGCTTGACATTCACAGTTACTTTGCCTGGTGGCTGATTGCTGTTATTGCCATTGCTTTTGTTGTTGTTGTTGTCACTGTTTTATGTGTCATGAAAATGCGGTTGGTGTGCGCACGACCACAACGCCGACATAAACACCGTAATTAGTTGAAATGAGGCGCCAGCAGGTGGTCCCCGGGTCGCGTCCGTAGGCTGAGGCGACGAAGCCGAAATCAAACGGGTGTACGATGTCTGGCACATGCACACGTATGTACATACATTCAAGTCAATGGCGAAATGAAAAGAATAAATTTTAAGAATTTCGAAGGATGTGTAAAATGGAGGGGGCGACGTGCGGACAAAAAAACAAAACGCCGAGAGGGTTGTGCGCTTTGTCGTTGTTAATGGCAACAATTTGCAACATTTACTTTGCCCAGCATATTTACTTACTGTACATACTTAGTTGTTGTTGATTTAACTTTCGCCTGCAATGCTAAAAAGTTGTAAAGTTCTAAGTTAACTGCTTTTGTTAAGAGTATACATATGCATGTATGTACCTTAGGGCGAAGTAATTTAACTTCGAAACAACTGTATGGCATATTCGATCTCTACGTTCGATTCTAAGCAAAAATGGCGAACAAACTATATACCAAAAATTAAGTTTGACCCTCCCAATTTTTTTTAAGAAAAATCAGTGGATTATAGTATTTTCTGACCGAAGTTAGTTTTTCATTAACAAAATTTTGTGTTTTCTTCATATTTAAGAAATTAAACATCTCACAAAACCGAGAAAACATAAATTATGCTTGTAAGCAAAAAGTGAAAAAAAATTTACAATATACTGATTTTTCTTTGGAAAATTGGGAGGATCAAACCTCACTTTTTTGTATATAGTTTGTTCTGCATTTTTGCTGAGAATTAATCGTAGAATCTGAATTTGCAATACACTTTCCTCGAAAATTTTGCTCCGAACAAATTAACTACTCCGCCCTAATGTACATATTTTTTGTGTTGGTTTAGGCACCTACAAGCGCAATTCTATTTTCGCACTGCTTTGTGTGGTTGCAAAACACGGCTTGGATGGGTTTTCTGTTGTTTTCTTGTTTATTTTTTGTGGGGATAAAAAGTTCCAGTGTACCAGGTTTTCCAAAAATTCTAGCCAATGTGCGGCCATCAGTGGGACCCACCCACTCTTTAGGCAAATGCTTCAATGAGTGAGTATACATACATATGTAAGTATGTATGCATGTATACTAGGTGACAGTTTTCTATTTAGTCAGCTCATCCATTAAAATTTTCTTAAGCGGCACAAATGAAAGACCTTACACATTTTCCCCACTCACAGTTTGTCGCTGGAATAAAGATAAATTAAAAGGTTTAATAGTCCAAGTTGTGTTCTCCCGCTCATTGGTTTGCCCAACTGTGCTTGTTGTTGTTGAATATTTTACTCTATTTGCCAGTCTACTAATAATTATACAAACATAAGTATTCCTCGCTTATAGAGCAGCTTTTGCTTCCACTGCTTACTCGGCTCTGCTGGCCTTTGAGTGTTCAGAAACAATAACGATGCTTTTTTGTGTTTGTCGCATTTCAAACAAGTTAACAGCCTCGTTTTGTTGCCGTTGTTTTACGACCGATAGCAGTTGGATTGTAAATGACATTCGGCGGTGAATTCATTGCCTGGGTGACAGTCACGTCGACCAATTTTCAACACGAATTCGCCGTTGAGGGAGGTGCACGGTTATTCTTGATGGGACTCGTAGGAAATTTGAAGCGCCACCCGTCACCATTGACTCATCTTTCCACTTAGTTTGGAAGTTGTGCCTTTCTAATTTGTATGCAAGCTATATGCTCT